TATCTGCGGAGCTTACAAACTAGTACAAAAGTTTGAGCACATATACATACAACTGCTACTTCCCAAGATGGAGAACTTGGAGATGTATAGCATTTAAGGAGATTCAAGGATACAGCAAGATCAGGAATGGGATAGTTGAGAGAGAGTACCTAAGCAGTGATAGGACGGACTTGAAAGGGCAATGATAGCTTTTGGACAGGTAGAGAGCCATTTGGCAAGAAAAGGAAAAGAGGACCCTCCAGAAGGAGGGACATCAAGTACCTAATCATGGATAAAGTAAAAGGCATATAAGAGAATGAGAAATAGGCTGGGAAGGCAGATTGTTTTTAAGGATAGTGTGTAAAATCTGAACCCCAAAACCATTTCATAAGATATCTAGTATGGATTTACAATCATGGAAATAACACTAAAGAGAATAATACAAAAGATTTGTTTTGTTGCTAAATTCTCACAGAGAAGCAAATGCCTTATTCCGGATCACTCCAATTTATAGCAATAGTAAGTAACAGTTAACTGCAGCACTATTTACAATTACCAAGACAAGGAAGCAATCTAAATGTCCGTCAACAGAGGAATGGTTAAAAAGAAGATATGGTATGTATTAGATACAATGGAATACTACTCAGCCATAAAAAGGAATGAAATAGTGCTACTTACAGAAACATGGATGCACCTAGAGAGTGTCATACTGAGTCAAGTCAGTCAGTCAGAGAAAGACAAATATGATATCACTTACATGTGGAATCTAAAAAAAATGGTATAAATGAACGTATTTACACAACTGAAAGAGAGCCAGAGCTGTAGAAAACCAGCTCACAGGGCGAAGGGTGGTGGGACTAGATAAACTGGGAAACTGGGATTGACATGTACACTGTGCTATATATAAAACAGATAACCAATAAGGACCCACTGTACGGCACCGGGAAAGCTGCTCAGTACTCTGTGAAGACCTACATGGGAAAGAATCCAAAACAGAGTGGATCTATGCACATGTATAACTGATTCACTTGGCTGTGCGCCTGAAACTAACAAAATACTGTAAACTACCTATACTTCAAAAAAATAAAACAGAAAGAAAAAATATTAACTGAATATTAAGACCCACCCAAGATCATCCTCATTTATGAAAAGGAACATAAAAGATGAATGAATAATCTGATGTAATAATAAGTAGTGGCATGTCCTTACATCTGTGGTAGGGTCAAACTTCAATGTGTAAATGTATGATGTAAGTAGCTTAACAAAACTAGAGTTGCTCAGGTCCCATTCCCCTGATTTGGTCTGACCAATAACTCTGCTGAATCTGTACTTTTAATTAACACCCCCAATGGCTCATTCATAGATGGCCCACAGACCATGTTTTGGAAATACTGCCCTACAGCAAGGTTCTCAGCATGGCAGCAATACAGCTGAGCAACATGAACAGGTTCCATCCCTGAAGATAAAAGATACATCTCCAGGTACCTTGGATCGAGGCATACTTTTAGGGAGATCCAGGCAAGTATAGCATCCCTAAAGCTAAAGCACCAAAAGCTCCAAACTCCAATTTTTGTTCCAACCCAATTATGGCCTTGCTTAAATGATAACAGTGTAGACAAAATTGCCAAATTACCCTTCTAGAATTCTGAGCTCAAGAAATTCCTGAGAAAACAACTCAAATTTCTTACAGGTGAAAGAATTATTGTAGAAATTCTTGATTATAATCAAGAAGCAGTGCAGGTACATGGAAATGAAAAGATCAGTGTGTCTGCTGAGTCAAACCAAGGTAAGGAATTCCCCATTCTCTCTGTGTGCGTCACATACTGAACACTGTACTGATTATGGTAATCCAAATTCTACCTACTTTTGCAAGGTCCGTCTCAGATGTCACCCCCTTCCTTACTATGGACAGGGGTAAGGAAGTACTGTGTTCATGGGAATACTTCTCAAGCATGTATGTTGAGAAGTAACCCTGTTCCTCATGGATTTTTCTCTTTTTTTCTCTTTAAAGTCTCTGTCATCCACTAGCATTTATACATTAGCTTAAAATAATCTTTAGTAACTATCCCTGACTATAGAATAAATTTAAGAGACACAATCTCTTGTACTTATTTGTATCCTAATGCTTTATATCATAGCAGGTACTCAATAAATGTGACATTAAAGAGTATGTCAATAGGCTTTTTAAAATAAGTTAAATATTTACATAGAAATAGGCTCAAGTGAAAGCTTGAGAAAACTGAATAGAGCTTAAGTATCTATATAGTTCCCCAGAAAAAGGATACGTTTTCTTACATAACCACATGGCTTGTTCACTGACCTCCTTCATGTCTACTCAAAAGTCAATGAGGCTAAAGAGGAAGGGGACATACATATACTTATGGCCAATGCATGTTGATACATGGCAGAAACCAACACAATATTGAAAAGCAATTATCCTTCGATTAAAAATAAAATATTTTTAAAAGTCCATGAGGCTTTCTTTGGCCACTCTTTTTAAAACTGTACCCCCTACTCCACCACTGACTTTCAACATTCCTCTCCCCCTCCTCTGCTTTACTTTTCCTCACTGCATTTATGATCTAATACATTTTCTCATTTATACTATTTGCCACACTTTCACCAAAATGTAAGTTCCATGAGCATAAGAATTTTTGTCTTTTTCACTGGGACAACCTCATGCCTAGAACAGTATCTCCCAATTTGTCGGCTGTTAAATGAATGAATCAATCAGTCAATACCAAGGATGAGTAAGTTCAAAGTCTCTTATTTCAAACAATGAAATTAATCCCTATCCCATTAAAAACTCATCAAAATTGCTTTTACAGTAGGACAAAAAGTGCTCTGAGTCCATGCACTGAAAATGTTCCATAAAACTCTTTCTGATTATCAGTCAAGACTTGGTTAGCTTGACTTCTTCCTTTTCATTACCAATGGTTTATTTAGCAAATATGATAGGATATTTCTGAATCACACCAGCAATTCAAGAACAGGAATGTTCAGAACAAGGAAGTGTGGCAATACTATAAACTGTGTTCTATTTAATTACTCATTTTCTTTCTCTACTAGAACATAATGGTACTTGCTTTATAAGAATTACTTGGATATAAGTGATTCACTTAGAGTCAATTCACCACATTGCTCAACAGCTTTAATTAATTTCCCCCCGCTTCACTTACTTTTCCCTCAGACAATATTTTTGTTGCATTGCTCAAGCAAAGACTGTGGCGCCTTATAACAGTCTTTTGATTTCTATTGGTCTTTTGGCAAGTTCCATAAAATCTCAGTACCTGAGTATATTAACTTTAACCTTACAGGGTAAACTATCATTTGATGATGATGGGCTGTGAGTCACCATGTTCCTTGCTGGCTGCAAGGAAGGTGATTGGTCAATCAAAGATAACTCTAACACCCTGCAAGATTTGCTGTCTGACCTCAATCTACACTTTCTGACAAAACGTGACACGTAAACCTGCCTATGTGGTCAAGATTTAAAGGCTAAAAATCAAGTTCTAGTTCCCATGAGCATTCCATTAATTTAAGGTATTGAACGGGGAGTAAAATATTAGTTTTCTTTCCTTCATACCAACATTCCTCAATCATTCTTAGTGAAGTGAAGTCGCTCAGTCGTGTCCGACTCTTTGCGACCCCATGGACTGCAGCCTCCCAGGCTCCTCAGTGCGTGGGATTTTCCAGGCAACAGTACTGGAGTGGGTTGCCATTTCCTTCTCTACAATCATTCTTACTTGAAAGGAAATGCTATTGCTTTCGGCATTTGACTGAGACCCAAACAAAATGTTTATCTCCTACTCATTCCTCAAAGCCTGGCTTAAATACTATCTCCTCTGCAGGGACTTTGGGAGTTCCTCCAATCAGAATTTCTCCTCCTAAAGGAGATCTGTTCTGGGTGTTCACTGGAAGGACTGATGTTGAAGCTGAAACTCCATACTTTGGCCACCTGATGCAAACAGCTGACTCATTGGAAAAGACCCTGATGCTGGGAAAGATTGAGGGCAGGAGAAGGGAACGACAGAGGATGAGATGGTCGGATGGTGTCACCGACTCAATGGACATGGGTTTGGGTGGACTCCAGGAGTTGGTGATGGACAGGGAGGCCTGACGAGCTGCGGTTCATGGAGTCACAAAGAGTCGGACACGACTGAGCGACTGAACTGAACTGAACTTCTCACAGCATTTACTTACTCTCAATATCTGTTGCTTACCTTGCCACTCCTATGAATGTGTCTACCCCCAACAAGCCTGAGTCTATGGAACTAAATGTTAAGAATCCAAAGAATATGCCTAGCATTGGGCTTTAACTTTGTTGCTACGCAATAAATGTTCAAATTCTGTACCTACAAAAATTCCCTTAAGTGAAAATTTCCTCAATCAAAACTTAAGGGAGGACAAGTACTGTGTTGGCCCCTGAGGATCAAGGATCGCACAACATCCCAGGCCAACTGAAACAGAAAGTGACCACTTTCCTGGCCGCCTATCCAGGCTCTCAGGTACTTTTCATAAGCCTACTTCAAATGCCACTTGTCCCCAACCACTGAGCTGTGACTTAAAAACAGTGCTTTGGGCCTCTCTGAGGAACCACTGCGGTGTAACAAAAAGGTAAACCCGAAGGAAAGTTCAGACTGGCTAAAATATCAATCCTCCTCTTACTACCTTTCTAACTTTGGACAAATTTGTAAATGTTAGCGACCTCAGCTCCCGCATTTGTGAAACAAGGGTATACAAACACCATCCACTTTACTAGGACGTGATAACGAGTAAGAAACATTTTTAAGTATGTAGAAGGCGATGAATCGAATTCAGAGATTTAGCAGATGTTCAACTAAGCCTATCTCCCTTCCGCGAAAAGTGCTAGCACCGTAATTTGCACTTAAGGGCCTCGGGGCACAGAAACTCGCGGAGCTGGGAAGGCTGTGCCGAGAGGCGCGCTCCGATACACCTGCCGGACGTGCGGGCCCCACGGCCAGAGAGGCCCCGGTCCCCCGACCCACTCCGGGTCTCACCTTGATGGTCGTAGACGCTAATATAAGAGATGCCCACGGCCATACACCACACCACGAGGCTTGCGATGTCCGAGAAGCTGGGTTCCTGCTCCTCCTCCGTGATCACCAGGCCCATGTGCACTGGCAGCTTCTCCAAGGAACGGCCGTCCGCGCGCCAGCGTAGCCGCCGGTGGGCGGCGGCCGGGGCCGGTCCCCCGCGCGGATGCCGGTGGTGACGGCGGTTCCTGCCGACAGTCGGGGGCTTGCGGAGCGTGAAGCCGAGCGGCGCTAGGACCGCGGCGGAGGCGGCACGACAGCAGCGCCGCCAGATCCAGTTCCAGGTGCCGAACCGAACGCGGAGCCAGGAGGTGAGCGTGCGGTGCAGGCAGAGCAGAGCATGCAGCACCCGCCACACCAGCTCGTACAGCCCCGTCATACTCTCGCGGCGCCCGGGCGCCCTCCTCTCTCCCTCCCACACCCGCGGCGCGACCGCTTCTTATCCGGCCCGGCGGCCGGCGCGGGCCATCGCTCCGCGTTCCCCCGCCCCCTGCACCCGAACCCCTTTCTACTGCCAACACCTCACCTCGCCCCCGCCGCCATCTTCCTCCTGCCTCGGCAGCCCCGCCCCCGCTAGTACATGGACAGTCCTGATTGGTCGACGTGGGACTCTGACGCGGCCTTTGAGTCCGAGGATGTGGCCCAACCCGGAGCGGGGAGGGAGGGCATGGGCCTGCGAACGAACTGGGCCGAAGACCGACGGCGCCCCCTGTTTGTGTGGAGGCCGAGGGGCAGTCGCCCGGCTGGCGCGCGTCTTGACTGGAATGGGCGATTCCTGGAACCCCGCGACCCTCGGATCTTGGACGTTTTGTGCGGTCTGTCTCTTCTCACAGCCCCGCCAGAAACGGCTGCCAAAGAGTAAAAATGGCCCAAGTGCATTGGAAATTACCAGAAAGAACCTAGAGGTAGAAAGTAGCCCTCAGCAAGTGTTGATGCTGGAGATCAACCAGGGTCGCCAGAAGTGCCTGAAGAGGCGGAAGAGTGCCCCGTAGAGAGGTCTGGCTATTGTTCTTCGGTTGTTTTCTAGCCGAGGCTGATTCTTCCAAGAGGGACAATGAAGATATTTAGTAATGCCCCTGAAACTCAATGCTTTCTGCCCAGTTATTCCTCTCTAGACTCTATCCTTACAGGCTGTTCATTGCTTAGCACAATATATAAAAGAGGCTCTGTCGCCTGGCACTCCGGTCATTTTTTATTCATTCATTTTTTCAACGATTATTAACTACCAGCATAACTGAGCTCAATCACCACCTCTATTTGCTGTGAACTGCACATGCAGCAGGACCCTCCCGCTCACACAGGCAATCTGGACTACAGAATGGTCCTCCAGGCCAGTTCTGTTCTTCCTTGCAGCTCTCTGTACCATTTTTTACCCCTTTTGCACAAGTTCTTCCCTTCTCCTGAATTCCTGTTTCCCTATTAGGTCTTGCCTAAATCCCAACCCGTTTCTCAAGTCTCATCCTCCAAGCTGCCTCCTCAGTGAAACTTCCCTGATTCCCTAGCTTTAAGTTCTCTCTCCCTCCTTGTAAATCTCAGGGCTCCTCATAAATTTTACGGCACTATTAATAGCACTTCTCATTCCTATATGTGGATCTAGATATGATATTATTACATGTTATGTATTATATAATTGCATAGCATGTATACATGTAAGTAAACTGGGTCGCGAAGCTCCCCGGACTAGGCAGTGGCAACCCACTCCAGTATTTTTGCCTGAAAAATTCCATGGACATAGGGGCCTGGCGGGATACAGTGCATGGAGTGGCAAAGAGTTGGAGATGACTGAATGATTTCTTCTTTTCTAAATGATTTCTTATTTTGACATTTTCCTCCCAAAAGGGAGTAAATATGGCACTTTCAGAATGTGAATGTTTCAGAATACAAATTCTGGACTTCTTACGTATATCTAAACTCAAATTCTACCATGGAGAGAAAAAGGCAGAAAGAGTTCCACAGCCCCAGAAAGATGTTAAGTCCAAAGTATTATGGGAACAGTATTTGATTTCTTTGCAGTTAAAATATATATATTTTTTAAGTTTAGCTTAATCTTCACAACCACACATATGATCTGTGTAGGTCAGGTAGAAGCATCTCAATTTTACAGAAAAGGAAACTGTTAGAGAGGAACAATTCAGGATAATGTGTAAGAGGCTGGGCTCTAAGGAGGGTCCTTTCGGCTTGCTCATCCTCTTACTGTATCCTTAGCTGTAGTGTGGCGATGGCACCATGGAAGTGATGCTATTCCAGTCCTCATCTGATTGTTGTAAAGATCAGAGCAATAGTGTACTTGAAGGATTTAGCATAATGTCTGGTCAATAGTGAGAGCTCAGTAATTTAATCTACTGTGGGGGAAAAAAATTGAGACAAAGTTTCGATTTCTTTTTTTTTTTTTAGAAAGAACGTTATCATTTACTACATTTTTCATTATTGATAGTTGTCACCTTATGGTAGAGCTCATACAAATAGCCCTTTAGATTATTTTCTAACAAAAGGTGAAAGTCTCTTTAAGGAAAAATACCGAGGCGCAGTCCAAGTTCAGCTGCTGGATCTTGAAGCATAAAGAATGACAATATTAAGAAAAAAATGTTGACTCAAAGGGTAAACTTCGATTTCTGTCGAGTCACATTTCAAGAATAGAGCTAGATATGAAAATTTTAAATGAAAATTATTTTAAAACATATTTTTGTCAAATACGTGAGTACCAAGAATGAGACCCTGAACTTTTAAAAATATTTGTAATGATACTTTGCAAACAAAAGTCTAAAACCTTCAAAAAAATACTTGGAAGCATGCTGAATTTGTCAATATGGTTCTTAAAATTAAACAAAGGAAAGAAAAAGACAAATAGTTATGGGAACAATTTCTTAGCCATTCAAGAGAAAACTTCAATATCACCACATTTGGTAGCATATCTGTTATAGAGCAAAAGAAAAAATGATCTATACATCTGTTGGAAAGTTATTCTTCAAGCAGTTATGGATCTAGTACATAGAACTTATATGATCAATCAACTGATAAAAATTAAACCTGTTCATCTGAAGAGCATTTAGAAGCAGTGCTTAACATTCTGTTAAAACCTATTATGGAGAGTGCAGGCCAACATGACAGGATGTATTTTGCAAGCTGTATAACATTTCAATTTATGTCAGATAAAAGAATGTGGCAAGGCATTTTTATGTAAGATGATTGTGTTGTCTATATTTAATCCCACATCCAACTAAATTAGATATATGTGTTTAGCTTGAAAAAGTGCACTGTCAGTACATATTAAACTGAAAAAGAGTAAGGAAGTTACAAGTGACAAAGAAGCAAATGTGACTGGAAATGTAGTATAGTGGAGTTTGTTTAACTTTTATGTGAACAATTTCAAATATGTTAAAGCATGATGAACTTCCATATATCATCACACAGCTTAAACAGTTACTGATTCATGGGCAAACCTATATCCTCATTCACTTCTACTCAAATATAAAGTTAGTTCAGTTCAGTTCAGTCACTCAGTTGTGTCCAACTCTTTGCAACCCCATGGACTGCAGCATGCCAGGGCTCCCTGTCTGTCCATCACCAACTCCCAGAGTTTACTCAAGCTCATGTCCATTGAGTCAGTGATGCCATCCAACCATCTCATCCTCTGTCATCCCCTTCTCCTCCCACCTTCAGTCTTTCCCAGCATCAGAGTCTTTTCCAATGAGTCAGTTCTTCGCATCAGGTGGCCAAAGTATTGGAGTTTCAACTTCAGCATCAGTCCTTCCAATGAATATTCAGGACTGATTTCCTTTAGGATGGACTGGTTGGATCTCCTTGCACTTCAAGGGACTCTCAAGAGTCTCCTCCAACACAACAGTTCAACTGGAAAAATCATAACTTTGACTAGATGGACTTTTGTTGGCAAAGTAATGTCTCTTCTTTTTATTATGCTGTCTAGGTTGGTCATAACCTTTCTTCCAAGGAGCAAGCGTCTTTTAATTTCATGACTGCAGTCACCATCTGCAGTGATTTTGGAGCCCAAGAAAATAAAGTCTGTCACTGTTTCTATTGTTTCCCCATCTACTTGCCATGAAGTGATGGGACCAGATGCCATGATCTTAGTTTTCTGAATGATGAGTATTAAGCCAACTTTTTCACTCTCCTTTTTCACTTTCATCAAGAGTTGAGTCCCTCATAATATTTTAAAACGAATGCTACACTTCATTAATTTTCATCCTACCTCAAATAAGAGCTCTTTTCGAATCTGTCACCATAATAGATTATCCTACTTAAAAAGTTAAGAATGTTTCCCAAATGTCATTAAATATCAAATCAGTGTTCAGATTTTGAACTGTTTATATAATCCTCAAATTTTTAAAATTTTTGTATTTTTGCGGTTTGAATCAGGATCCATGTGAGATTCACATTTTGTATCTGATTGGTGGGTCTCTTAGGTCTCTATCAGTCTGTTCATCTCATCTCCTTCCCTGTTTTCCTTTCCAGTTTATGTTCGAAGAAATAAATTGTCCTGTGGAGTTTCCCGCTGTCTGTATTTTGGTGCAGTTTTACATGTTCCTCCATTGTCTATAGGATATTAACAATTTAGACCAAGGGTCAATAAACCATGACCATGGACCCAGTCTGCCCGATTCCATGTTTATTTCTTTCTTTAATTGACTTTAGAGTAATTTTAGGTTCACAGCAAAATAGAGCAGAGAGTACTGGGGGTTCCCTTCTCACTTTAATGTGTTTGAAATAGTCTACGTAAAAGGTAAAACAACAGCAACAACAAACTCCATTCCTTCTGGCCTGCCAGATGAATAATATTTCATTATCCTTTAGTTACAAATATTTTATTTCCAACATGATGTTTTTGAGTATGCCTTTTTTCAGAAACATATTGCTTAGTTTCCAAGCATTGGGAACAAAGGAAAAGCTCCCAAATGCTTGGAAATTAAGCAATGCTTGCATGCATACTAAGTCGCTTCAGTCGCGTCCGATTCTGTGAAACCCTATGGACTGAAGCTCGCCAGGCTCCTCTGTCTATGAGATTCTCTAGGCAAGAATACTGGAGTGGGAGGCAACTTAATTACCACGTTAAGAAACACGTTGTGAATGATTTTCATGATCTGACATGCTTTGACCTAACGTGTAGTCAATCTTGATAACTATTCCATGTGCATGTGAGAAGCACGTGAGATGTGCACTTTGACCTGACAGCTCTCCTATCCTTCCCCAGCTTCCTCCCTATGTCGCTCACAGGCCATGACTTCATGGTTCTCTTGCGTGGCTACTCCAGTCTTATGATCTGCTTTTAGAGGACCTGGACTAACATAAACCCGCTCACCCCCTACTGCCTTTCCTGCAAGTGTGCAATGTATTTACTTGCACATATGTTTTCTATCCCACAAGACATTATTATATTTTGCATTATTATTAAGACTATTTTTAGAGCAGTTATAGGTTCACAGCAAAATTGAGAGGAAGGTACAGAGATTTCCCATCCGCTTCTTGCACTCACACATGCACAGCCTCCTCCATGACAACAGCCCCACCAGACTGGTCCATTTGTTACCAGTGATGAACATACATTACCACCCAAAGTCCATAGTTTACATTACAAGTGGCTCTTGGTGTACATTCTGTGGGTTTGGGCAAATGAATAATGACCTGTGCCTATCACTAAGGTATCATACAGGGGACTTTCACTGCCCTAAAAATCCTTTGTGCTTTACCTGTGTATCCTTCTCATCCCCCACCCTCAGCTCCTCACAGTCACTGATCTTTTTACTAGCTTTATCAGTTCAGTCGTGTCCAGCTCTTTGCAACCCCATGGACTGCAGCATCAGGTTTCCTGGTCCATCGCCAACTCTCAGAGCTTGCTCAAACTCATGTCCATAGAGTCGGTGATGCCATCAACCATCTCATCCTCTGTCATCCTCTTCTCCTCCTGCTTTCAATCTTTCCCAGCATCAGGGTCCTTTCAAATGAGTCAGTTCTTCACATCAAGTGGTTAAAGCATTGG